TCACGGGGCAGCGTGGGTGGTCAGAAGCAGAGGCCTGGTGCCTGGGCTTTGACTGGAGCCTAGTGCTGCTTAGAGGTCACATGTGTTTCCCCCAGCCACTCCTGTACGACCCCACCTTTTCTCTCCCAGTACCTCAAACACTACTCCGCACTCTTCCCTCTGGTGGCTGACCTTGCCGTTTATTTCCCTGAGAGAAGAGTGGCAATTGGAATAGACTTTCACGTGCTCCCTGTACAGAGCTGTGTCCCCCTAACTTCACATGTTGAACTCCTAATCGCCAGTATTTCAGAATGTGACTGCATTTGGAGATGGGTTTTCAAAGAGGTGATTAAGTTAAATGAGGTCGTATGGATGGGCCTTGATCCAATGTGACCAGTGTCCTTATAAGAAGAGGAGATCGGGACACAGACACACATAGAGGGACGGCCGTATGAGGACACGGGGAGAAGACAGCCATCTACGTGTCAAGGAGACAGGCCTCAGGAGCAATGACCCTGTCCACACTTTGATCTCAGACTTCCAGCCTCCAGAATTGTGAGAAGATAAATTTCTGTTGCTTAAGCTGTCCAGTCTGGGGTACTCTGTTACGGTGGCCCCAGGAAATGAACAGACACAGACCAGCACCTCTATCCCCTCCCTGAACCTGGACCCATGCATGCTACCCCTCCTGCACTAGGGAATAATGGCTTTATTCTGCCCCTTTAAAACACCAACAAATATACGAACTGCCAGTGTTTCATCAGCGCGGAGTAATGGACGTTTCTAAACTTTGATTTACTTTCACAGATTTAGAATTGCTTTCTTGAGAAAAATCCTGTTTCCCCTTCAGGAGCCCCCTGGGTCCAGCTCTGCAGACACTTGGGATGACCTCCAGCAGGCAAGAGTCTCGCTCAGTTTCCATGAAACGATGCCAACTCTGATCATCTGTTGTTTGACTTCAGCCCATAATAAGGAAAATCTTCATTTTAGGCTCTTTCTAAAATCTTTGCTGGCTCCGCTGGTATGCTGTATCTAATAACCAGCTCTACAAGGGGGAGGGAAAGGGCCCTGACTTGCAGCATTTGCTGACTTCCACGGTCGAAATGCTCCCAGCACGGCCAACCTCGGCTACCAATGTGAGGTCACTGAGCAAGGAGCAGCACGTCGTTGTAAAGGACACGTAAGCAGACTCAAGGAAAGTATAATAAAATAATTAGGACACGATGGATTTTCAGTACTTTTTACCTTTAAAAAATATAGTTTAATTAAGTGTAAGTTTATGTAGTTTAGTTTTAAACAGTGTTGTGTTTAACGACTGGCTTTGCAAAATTCCTGAAAATTAACAACTTGCGTTCACAAGCCAGTGCCAGGGGTCTCCGGCACATCACTGGGTGGGCATCACTTACCAAAATTCTAAAGCCCATTTGTTTCTTTAGAGTGTAGATTTTATACTTGGATTATGCTGGGTCATTAGAGAACTTTGTATTTGGACCATATAATTCCTTTTGATTGAACAATACTCGAAGCCCCTTCCTACGTCAAGGGAATCCCCCATTCTATGAAGCAGGGAGTCTACGCCATGAAAGAAGTGGAAAATAGCACTCACTTCCTTTGCAGCTCAGGTGTGTGCTCATGACCCGGGCTCTGCCAATGGGCCACATCCAGGGTCCAGACAGGAGAAGTCTTAGAAGTGACCCGCGTCAGATAAGCCGTGGGTGGGCTGTGTGTCTACACTCAGAAATGGCGCACTGGTGTCTTCAAGGGACCAGCTCTTGACTGGGGCATCTTTCCTTAAAGTTTGGTTCTCTGGTCCTCCTGGAGATTTTGCAAAGTATCTGGTATTCTTTCTCTTCCTTTTTTAAGAATAAACTTTAGGGGCTTCCCTGGTGGCGCAGTGGTTAAGAATCCGCTTGCCAATGCAGGGGACACGGGTTCGTGCCCCGGTCCGGGAAGATCCCACATGCCACGGAGCAACTAAGCCCGTGTGCCACAACTTCTGAGCTCGTGTGCCGCAACTACTGAAGCCCACACGCCTAGAGCCCGTGCGCTGCAACAAGAGAAGCCTCTGCAATAAGAAGCCCGTGCACTGCAACGAAGAGTAGCCCCCGCTCACCGCAACTAGAGAAAGCCCACGCACAGCAACAAAGACCCAACTCAGCCAAAAATAAATAAATAAATTTATAAAAAAAAAGACTAAACTTTAAATTTTTGATTTACAGAAAAGTTGCAAAGAGAATAAGAGTTCCTGTGTTCCCCGTACCCAGGCCCCCTCGCTGTCTTCCTCTTACTTACGGCACATTTATCACAACCAATGAACCAATGTTGATACATTATTATCCTTAGCCTCCTCTACGGCCCGAGATGATTTTCCTAACATCCCTTGTTTTTGGTGACCTTGACAAGTACTGGTCTGGTATTTTGTAGAACGCTGTTCAATGTGAGTTTGTCTGACATTTTCCTCATGGTTGGACTGAGGGTGTGCGTTTTGGGAAAAAGGCCTCACGGGTGAAGGGCCGTTCTCATCAGCCCACATCAAAGGTGCACGCTGCCAACGTGACTCGCCTCTGATGGCGCTCACACTGACCCCCAGGTTTCTCCACCGCAGTTACTTTACTTTTCCTTCTCTCGTCTGTTCTTTGGGTGCAGGTCACTAAGTCTAGCGACACTCAGGGGCGCGGAGGTAAGCTCCACTTTTTTGTGGGGGAGAATTTACCTAAATTAATATTTGTTTATATCAGTATTGACTCATGAATATTTACTTTATACTTTAATTCTAACCCAATACTTTGCTATTTATTTTGATGTTCGAATTATTTTTGCTTTGGCCATTGGGAACTCTTTCAGGTTGGCGCCTGTGTCCCTCTGTCATACCCCATACCTTCATCGTTTTGGTTTTTGATCACCTTTTTCTTTTTTTGCAGCACCGTGAGACTTGTGGGATGTTAGTTCCCTGACCAGGGATCAAACCCTGGGCCCTGGCAGTGAGAGCACTGAGTCCTAACCACTGGACCGCCAGGGAATTCCCTTGATCACTTTCCTATTTTCTGGCACTACGAGATGCTCCAGGCTCACCTTGTATATTTCTTGCCCCAGCCCTAGAAGCAGCCACCTCCCAAGGAACCTTGGCTCTTCATTAGAGAATGGAATTAGAAACCATATTGTGTCTGCCTGTCTGTCTATCTATCTATCTGTATATCTATCTTTCGTGTCTATCTCTCTGTATCCCCTATTGCTCTCTTCCTCTGGAGAGCCCTGACTACTACACCACTCCTGCAGATCCAGGGGCAGAGGGAGCCTGTACTTACTGGTATGCTTGAGCACATACTCAGGCACACGAATGAGGGCAGAATAATTTCGGGGGAAGGGGAGGTGAGTGGTTAGGGCAGAACGTCCAACAGAGGGACCGGGAGTTTTCCTCCGTGTCACCCACGATGAAGCCAGGTTGTGGTTTTATTGCGTGGCGAGGGGCAATAGTTCTGTGGAAAGGACAGGAGTTAGTAAGTCAGGTGGATCTGGGTTTGAATGTGGACTATGTGAACCAGGTGAGGTCGCTTACCCTCTCCTCAGTGTCATCAATGGTACAATGGAGCCGACAATACCCACTTCACAGAGTTATTGTGATGGTTAAATTACATAATGCATGAGACCCCTGGAATGTACTGGTTATTCTACAAAAGCTAGTTCCCACCCCCCCCCCCATTCACACATTAAGTTCTTTATCTAAGAAAGATTTACTGAGCTCCTAATACTTGCCAGGCACTGTGCTTGGTGTTGAAAATAGTGAACCAGACAAATTAGACTGGACAGAAAACAAACCCATACAGAAATAATTTCAGTGGTCCTGTTTTGAGGAAAATGAAACAAGGTGAACTGAGCAAGCACCTGGGTTGGTCTCCAATGCCTCTCCGCGTTGATAACATTCATGCTGCGGTGGAAGTGACAAGGGGGCAGTTGTGACCCAGGGGAGGCGCATTCTGGGCTGAGCGGACAAAAGGGCACAGGCAGTGGGGCCGTGGTAGGAGGCTGAGGAGGTGGGCAGGGCAGGGTCCGGGGTCCCTGCAGGTTTCCATGGCAGGTTAGGGTTTGAGTCTAAGAGAGATGGGAAGCTGGGGGGGGGGGAGGGAGGGAGAAGTCTGACTTCCGTGCTTATCCCTTGGGCTGGACTGGTGGGGGGCAGACGAGGGGCTGGGAAGAGGGGATGTGGGGAGATGGCTCAGGCCACTTGTGGGTGGTTCTGGCCAGGAGGTAGCAGTAGGGCTGAGAGAAGTGGCTGACCTGAGATGTGCTTTGGTGGGAGAGGCGACAATTCTTGGTGATGGGTGTGCTTTGGGGCGTGAGGGGCGGCGTGCAATTCAGGATGACACTCGGGTTTGGAGCTAAGCAACCAATGCCCGTTCTCTTCTTCCTCTGACCCATGAAAACTCCGGCTGAAACACAGGGTTGTGTGGAAAGTTTCCAAATTAACTTTGAAAACCATAAACAGAGTTTTGAAAGGACCTTAGGCATCAGTAACTGAAGCGAGGCCCAAAAGGCCACACCTGGCAGAGCTGGAACCTGGTTTCCAGAATCCTTGCTTGGTGTTGACTCCACTCTAAGATGCTCCCTTTAGCAAGGGGTCAAGCTGAGGCAGAGAACCCGCAGTTTAGGCTACCAGACAGTGGTGCCTCTTAAAACAATTCCTTTATTTTAATAGTGAATAGACATAGTTTATGCAACATATACGATGCACAAACAACAATGCAACAAGGCACTGGGACCCCTGTCCCCACCCCGCACGTGTAAGAAACGAGTGTTATCATTCCTCTTGCAGCCCTCTGAATGCCTCTGCCCAGTCTCTCCTCTGACCTTCCTTCTTAGAGGTTTATCACTGCTCTTCTTTATAATTCTACCACACGTTTGAATCCCTAAGTAATATCCTGTTTAGTTCTGCATGGCTTTGAACTTTATGTAAGTGGAATCATGCTTGTATGTATTCTTCTGTGACCTTTTTGTTTTTGCTCAGTGCTGTTGCACAGACTCACCCATATTGTTGCTTGCAGCTGTGGCTCGTGGATTTTTCACGCCAGGGTAGAACTCCAGTACGTGAACACATCACAATTTGTTTATGCTTTCCACTGTAGATGGACAGCTGGCTTGTTTCTAGACTTTTGCTTGTTTAACTCTCTTGCTGTGAGTATTTGGATAAAGGAAAAAAAGAAGCCCTTTAATAGAGGCTGGAAGGAATTCAGCTTACATCTGAACGTTGCTTGGCTTCGTTTTGTATGGGGCATAAAGACAAGAAAAAAATTGGTCTCTATGTCCTTATGTCTCAAAACTTTGATCTCATTGTAATCAAGAGAATCAAAGCAAGGCCCAGTGGAATGAAGGAAACCATCCTGAATTTTGGCAGGTTCAAAGACACGTCGTGATAGTGAAACTGGAGTACTTAGTAACAAGCAGCATTCTCATTTGTGGGCACATAAGTCGTAATGTTGCCCACACGGGCAATGTCCATACAATTATCTACCTTGGTATAGAAATCTGAAGACTTACTGAAGTTTGAAGAAGTTTTGGGGGAATTTCTCAGGGCAACCAATCTATTGACCAATAAATACTCGTAAACTGTCTCCTTTGGGCAAAGCATTCTAATAGGTATTGCAGGAAATACATGGAGGTTTACATGATGCAGGAAGAGATACTCCAGACCTTAAAGAGCTTGTACTCTGACTGTGGATAGACACACACACACATGAAACGCTGAGGTAAAACATAAGGTCGTGTGTGCCAGGTGTCAGGTGGATGGCTGTACGTTCTCTGTTTTCCTCCTGTAAGCGCCCCCAGAGCGGGGACTGAAGCAGTATTCTTTCCATGGTGTGTTCATGGTTTTGAATGAATGAGTGAATGAAGAGACTGGAATTGCCAGGAAAGACTTTTTGGAGAAGGAAGGTCTTGGTGTGGACAGTAAAGAGTGGTAGCACGGAATCTGAAGAGGAGGAAAGAGAGTATAGAATGGGTAAAAGTTCCGGGCCTTGGCAATGGGAAGGCCCAGGGATTGGAGAGAGGAGGAAGCCAGTCTGCAGGAAAGGGTTCTTTAGAGAGAGAAGTGGGAACAGCTGGAAGGGCAGGGCGGGGCCCCAAAGTCAAGGTCTTGAATGCCAGTTCCGGAGTCTGATTTTTTCTACAGGTAATGAGAATACTGCATTGCAGTGCTTTCAGCAGAGGGGAAGAACTGTGTTTTGGGGGAATTCACGTTTTAGGGGGATGCAGAAAAGAGGGTGTCAGCTGGGGTGACAGAGATTAACTGGGACACCCCTTACCAGCTTGGGTGGGACGATTTTACACAATGGCAGTTGGAGGGTGCCCAGGGGTCGTGCGTGAGAAGGGGCAAGCCCTAACGCATAAGCACTTCTCAACAGCTTCGTATTTTCTAATGTCCCTTTGGCCAAAGCAAGTCACACGTCCAGGCCCAGATTCAAGGGTGGAAAATAGGCTCCACTCCTTGCTGCGAGGAGGGGCAAAGCCACAAGGCAAAGGGGTGAGTGTACACGGAAGAGCTTGTGGGCATTTTTGAGGTCTACTACCCTGGGCTAAGTGTTGTAAGTACCAAACACAGGGAAACAACTAAGATCAAAGGTGAGTGAACCTTTACAGACAGCTGCATAAAAGAAAATAAAAAGGTCTAGATGGCTGGAGCGTTGGGTTAGAAAGATCAGAAATGCCATATTTATTGACTTTCTGGAATATGTGTCTAAATGTCGCATCTTAAAATCAGATCTCATTACCCTCTGATTTGGAGAGATTACCCCAGAAATTATCCAGGTCACTTCACGCAGGTATTTAACCCAGCTCTCAGAAGCTGGGTGTTCAGAAAAACAGATACTTCTTTATCTTTCCCAGGTTCTTTAGGGTTCAGGGACTTCAAAAAAATAGAGATGAACACTGAATGTAACCAGTTGAAAATTATTCCTGTATTCTTATCAGCCTATGGCAGCAGCAGTACTGGCTCAGAGCAAGCCTCATGTTCTCCAAGTCCCCACCGCCATTTTCTGGCATAAGGCATTATAGGCACCGTATGTGGAGGCCTACAAGCTTCTCAGGGGCCATAAAAAAAAAAAAGGTGGAGTCGTGAAAAAAGTTTTAATTCAAAATCACAAAAAGACATTTCAAAATCTAAAGTAACACATATCATAAAAATAATTTGACAGCAATTTGTAGATTTTCTCCCTTCCTAAGAATTCTCAGAGATGCCAAACATCACAGCCAATAGCAATTTAAGTGGCTTATACGCCCAAAATCCAAACGTAAAATGATAAATATTCCTTCAGATTCATTTTTATTGCAAACAACAACAAAAAAGTACTTAATGCAGAATGGGGTGAATTACAATAAGTCCCGTACATATGAACCTTCAAGTTGCAACTTTCAAAGATATGAACGTGTGTTGGAACGTCCAATCAGGTAAGGTAGTTCACGTGTCTGGCGTACATTGTCACGTGCGTGCATCCTCTACAAGTGGTTGTGCTTTTGTGTACTCTACTGTACAGTACTGTACGGAGTACAGTACTACAGTACCTTTATTTCAAGCCCAGGATGTCCGGAAGCAAGCGTAACAGCAGCGGTAAAGAGCCAATTGTGTTAGTTGCTACCTAGGCTAACTTCTTGGACTTAACGAACAAATTAGATTTGCTAACGCTCTCCAACGTAACTCATGTGTAGGTAGGGGACTTATGTACTGTATGTGGCATGTTTGGCCGTCCCCAAAGTAACGGACCATGGAGGCTCTCAGGAGGGTCATGTAAACTCCCCAGTACTGGGCCGCCCGCGGATCTGGCATGGGCCTCACGTTCAGGGCTATCTACATTTTCCAGGTGGGGAAGCACAAGACCAGCGGCGGTCCAACCGCTTATCAGACCCAGAGAAGCCAGGTTTCCGGGGTTTCCGCCCAAAGCGCGTCCAGAAACAACCAGTTTCCGACCTTTTACTTACTTTGGCGGAGTGACAGTTCCCGCGGGAGGCCTCCTGCTGGATGCCGCCGAGGGCTCTGCAGGCGGGGTTCGTGCTGGTGAAGGGCGCTGACTGCTGCGGCCGTACAGGATAAACGCCTGCTAACCCGGCGCGCCGGCCCGCCCACCTCCGTTAGTTCACCCTCACCGGCGGGGGGAGTACGCGCCCGGAGACCCGACCCCAACCGCTAGCTCCTCACCGTACTCCCTGCGGAATTTCGCCTGCGCCCGCCGGCCTCCGCTCCCCGGGGGCGTGGCCCCCCAAGCCCCGCCCGGCAGGCTCCGCCCCTCAGCCTCAGGCCCCTCAGGCGTCGCGGCGCGCTCCTCTGACGCGCGGCGCCTTCCTCTGACGTCAAGACCCGCCCCCTCCCCGCCCCGGCTCGCGCGGCGCCCGCCCTCAGCAGCCCGAGCGGCTTCTTCTGAGGCGGCGGTTGAGGCAGCGCCCGGTGTCTTGGTCGCGGTGTGTGCAGCGGCAGGCTGCTCCCGTCCCGGCCGGCGGGGCGGCCGTCCAGCCCCTCGGGCCGGCAGGCGATGGTGCGGTGGAGTGCGCGGACGCGGGCGGCGTGGCGGCGGGCATGAAGGAGGATGGAAGGGCAGGACGAGGTGTCGGCGCGGGAGCAGCACTTCCACAGCCAAGTGCGAGAGTCCACGGTGAGCGCCCTCCGCCCGCCCCCTCCCAGCCTGCCGCCCGCCTGTCCCTCCCATCCCCTTCGCTTCCCCCTCGCGGCCCTCGCGGTCTCCCCTGTACCGCTTCCCCGCCCCCACCCTCGCCCCTCCGCCTCACGCCGCGCCCCTCCCCCAGGCTCCGCCCCCCGCTCTGCGCCCACCTGCTCTCAGTCCTGGGCGCGGTCCCGTCGAGTCACCTGTCCGGCCCCCGGGAGTGCTTCGGGGCCGCCTGCGCCCTCCCCTGGGGCTCTTCCCGGGCCGCGTTAGCGGCGTCGGCCCTCCAGGCGGTGGACGACAGTCCCGCGGCCCGCGCACCGTTGCCTGGCACGTCCCTGGCCTGGCACGGTAGACAGGTGTGCGGACGGGTGTCTGGCGGGACCTGGGTGGCCCCGCGCAGGCGCCGGGGTGTGGCCGGGCTCGCTCTCCCAGCCCGACTAGTCACCTCGGCCGGGTTAGCGCCCACCTTTCCGCCCCTCACCCGTCGTCCTCCTCCATTCTTGGGCTGAGCCCGAAACCTTGCGTTTGGGTGTGAAGGCCGGCGATGGGTGGGATTGAGGGCCTGGGCAGAAGTCCTCTGTGCCCTGGAAGCAGCTTCTGAGGGAAGTCATCCTTTCTTGGTCCCCTGTTTCTTCTGTGCTGCTGGCAGGGGTCGGGAAGCAGGCTCGGCCGTAGGAGTCTACGTTCGTGTTTTTACCTTTTCCTGGCGCGCTAGAACACGTTGTGGTTGTGTTTGTTTATGTTTTCATAGCAATGTAAAATATATACATGTTGTGCATTTGTGTTTATTCCTCCCCTCTTCTAACTAACTTCTCTCAAATTCAGTCAGTCTCTTGGTTTTTGAGAATTGCCTGGTTTGTGTAGTTCTTGATCTAGAAAATTGAGAATCACTTTGCCAAGTCATATCCTGGAATAAAGAGGTATAAATTCTGAACTGGTGGATTCTGCTACGGCGTATTAGTTTAAAGTTTTAAATTGAAGCTAAAATAAACAGAGAAGTACATCATCATACATGTCCAGCTCGAAGCACTTTAAACACACCTGTGTAATTCTGAACACAGACTGTGAAACCCAATTAGTATTAGCATCTCAGAGGCCCATCCCTTTTCTCCGTCCAGTTCCTCTCCTCTCCACCAAGAGTAAGCACTGTCCTGGCTTTAGTAGATTAGCTTAGTTTTGAACTTTTATGTAAGTGGAGCCTTACAGTCTGCCCTCTTTTGTGTCCGATTTCCTTCACTCAACAGCGTTTGTGAAATTCCTCTCTTGTATGTAGTTGCAGTTCACCCCGAATGCTGTAGTGGTGTGACTATAGCACAGTTTATGTTTCTTTCACTGTTGGTGGGCACTTCAGTAATCTTTGGGTTGTGGTTACGAGTATTCTTGTACATGTCTTCTGGTGAACATGTGGATGCATTTGTTAGGTCCATACCTAAGGATGGAACCTCTAGGTTATAGGTTGTGGGTTTGTTCTTCTTTAGTAGATACTTTTAAACAGTTTGCCAAAGTGGGTTGTACCAATTTACACTCCCACCAGCGCTGTAGGAGAGGCGTGATTTGCTTCCCATCTGTAGGACACTTAGTATTTTCTGGGTTTTTTTTTTCTTTTTTAAAAAAATTTTAGCCATTCTGGTAAGTGTCATGTATTTGTTGCACAAAAGACTTTATTTGCATTTTCCTGATGATAATGAATTTCAGCACCTTTTCATATGTGTATTGGCCATTTGGAAATCTTCTTTTGTGAAGAGTCTTCAGGTCTTCTTCCCACTTTTAAACTTATTTATTTATTTTTTAAAACTAAGTAACAGCCTTTCTTTTTTTTTAATTGCTTATTTTAAAAACAAATTTATTTAATTTATTTATTTTCCTTATTTTTTTTGGCTGCATCGGGGTCGTAGTTGCCGCACGCGGGGTCTTTCGTTGCGGCGCGCGGGCTTCTCTCTAGTTGTGGCGCACGGGCTCGAGAGCGCGTGGGCTCTGTAGTTTGCGCCACGCGAGCTCAGTAGTTGTGGCGCGCGGGCTTAGTTGCTCCGCGGCATGTGGGATCCTAGTTCCCCCACCAGGGATCGAATCCGCGTCTTCTACATTGGAAGGCAGATTCTTTACCACTGGACCGCTGGGGAAGTCCCTTGTTTATCTTTTTAATATTGATTTGCGAGAGTTGTTTATGTTTTCTGGATATGATACTTTGGTCATGTATATGTATATATATGTGTATACATGTGCATACGTGTGTGTGTGTATATATATAGTAAATCTTTTTTTCATTCTGGGGATGCTTTTTCACTTGCTTAATGATATCTTCTAATGAGCAGAAATTCTTAATTTTAATATAGTTCACTTTATTAGAATTTTTTTTTATGTTTTATGATCGGTATGTTTTATGATCGGTATGTTTTATGTCTTGTTTAAGAAATTTTTGCTTACTCCAAGGTAAGGAAGATGTCCTCTTGTACTTTTCTCTAAATGGTTTATTGATTTACTCCTCTCATTTAAACCTACAGTTTATCTGGAATTTATTTTTTGTGTACGTTGTAAAGTAGGATTCGTATATATTTTTTTCACATGGATGTCCAATTGCTTCAGCACCATTTATGACCTTAGTCACAAATTAGGTATAACTGTGTATTTGTGGGGTTTAATTTTGATTCTATGCTGTTTCATTGGTCTATTTGTTTTTGGCTTTATTTTAAATTAATCAGATGTTCTCTTATTTGGATTGAGAAAGGGACCCACGTTATAGTAGCCAGGAGCTTTATTTTTGTCTCCTACCCTAGAAACAACTCAGTTTTGGCACTGATTCTAGAATTCCTTAGTTCTGCTCCTCCTCACTCCTACTTCTCCTGCACCAGCACCCTTGGGTGGTGGGTATACGCTGCCCTCTGCAGAACCAGTGCAGACAGTGACCAAGCTTAGTGAATTTCCAGTCTTTGGCTTTCCTTCTTCAAAGTATTTATATTTAGAGTGAGTATAAATGCTTGATTTTTCTCTAGGACTTGTTGCCAATTCTTTTATTTATTAACTTTTTTAATTAAACAAATTCAAAAAATTTTTAAATTTTATATTATCGATTTACAATGTTTTGCTAGTTTCAGGTATACAGCAAAGTGACTCATTTATACATATACATATATCCATTCTTTTTCAGATGCTTTTCCCATATAGGTTATTACAGAGTATTGAGTAGAGTTCCCTGTGCTGTACAGTAGGTCTTTGTTGATTATCTATTTTATATATACTTGTGTGTGTTTGTTAATCCCAAACTTCTAATGTATCCCTCCTGCGGCCCCCCCCCCTTTGGTAACGGTAAGTTTGTTTTAGAAGTCTGTGAGTCTGTTTCTGTTTTGTAAATACGTTCATTTGTATCATTTTTTTTAAAGAGTCCACATATAAGTGATGTCATAAGATATTTGTCTTTTTCTCTGTCTGACTTCACTTAGTGTGATAATCTCTAGGTCCATCCATGTTGCTGCAAATGACATTATTTCATTCCTTTTTTTATGGCTGAGAAAATATCCCATTGTATATATGTACCACATCTTATTTATCCATTTTTCTGTTGATGGACATCTAAGTTGCTTCCATGTTTTTGCTATTGTAAATAGTGCTGCAATGAATATTAGGGTTCATATATCATTTTGAACTGTGGTTTTCTCTGGATACACGCCCAGAAGTGGGATTGCTGGGTCCTATGGTAGTTATATTTTTAGTTTTTTAAGGAACCTCCATACTGTTCTCCATAGTGGTTGTACCAATTTACATTCCCACCAACAGGGCAAGAGAGTTCCCTTTTCTTCACATCCTCTCCAGCATTTGTCGTTCGTAGACTTTTTGATGATGGCCATTCTGACCAATGTGAGGTGATACCTCATTGTAGTTTTGATATGCATTTCTCTAATAATTAGTGATGTTGAGCATCTTTTCATGTGCTTTTTGGCCACCTGTATGTCTTCTTGGGAGAAATGTCTGTTGAGATCTTCTGTCCTTTTTTTTTTTTTTTTTTTTTTTTGGCGGTACGTGGGCCTCTCACTGTTGTGCCCTCTCCCGTTGCGGAGCACAGGCTCCGGACGCACAGGCTCAGTGGCCATGGCTCACGGGCCCATCCGCTCCGCGGCATGTGGAATCTTCCCAGACTGGGGCACGAACCTGCGTCCCCTGCATCGGCAGGCGGACTCTCAACCACTGCGCCACCAGGGAAGCCCCTTCTGTCCATTTTTTTGATTGGGTTGTTTGTTTTTGTGGTATAGAGCTGCATAAGATGTTTGTATATTTTGGAGATTAATCTGTTGTCGGTTGCTTCATTTGCAAATATTTTCTCCCATTCTGTGGGTTCTCTTTTTGTTTTGTTTATGGTTTCCTTTGCTGTGCATAAGCTTTTAAGTTTAATTAGGTCTCATTTGTTTATTTTTGTTTTTATTTTCGTTACTCTAGGAGGTGGATCCAAAAAGATATGGCTGCAATTTATTATTATTATTTTTAAAAATGTTTATTTATTTGGTTGCGCTGGGTCTTAGATGTGGCAGGTGGATTCCTTAGTTGCGGCTTGCTGGCTCCTTAGTTGTAGCACGTGGGCTCCTTAGTTGCGGCTCTCCGGCTCCCCAGTTGTGGCATGCGAACTCTTAGTTGTGGCATGCATGTGGGATCTAGTTCCCGGACCAGAGATCGAACCCAGGCCCCCTGCATTGGGAACGTGGAGTCTTATCCACTGCACCACCAGGGAAATCCCAGATATTGCTGCAATTTATGTCAAAGAGTATTCTGCCTATGTTTTCTTCTAACAGTTTTATAGTATCTGGCCTTACATTTAGGTTTGTGTATGGTGTTAGAGAATATTCTAATTTCATTCTTTTACATGTAGCTGTCCAATTTTCCCAGCGCCACTTATTGAAGAGGTTGTTTTTTCTCCACCGTATATTCTTGCCTCCTTTGTCGTAGATTAATTGACGATAGGTGCGTGGGTTTACTCCTGGGCTTTCAGTCCTGTTCCATTG